ATCGAGGTCATCGACCTTCCCAGTCGTGATTTCGCGTTTCAGGTTTTCTGTCTGCTGTTTTCGCTAGTGAGTGATGCGGTCTCTTAAACGCATCTCGTTCGTCGTATATTAAAATGCGAGTATCGTAATCGGGGCCCTTGGCCACCTAGGTGCGCTACTGATTAGAGCACCCCCATTATTAACTACTTTACGGTCTCAATTCATATCCGTTTCAGGTACCCTATACAGATTGTGTGGGTAGTTTACTAAGCTAATTAGAAATAGTATAGTCATACTTTTTAAATAGTATATCATTTACGAAGTGCTTTAGCAAAATTTTGCGGTTCATAATCTGGAATAACTTTTAGAAATTTTGATATTGAAAAATTTAATATAGAAAAATCAACATTTGAATAAATCGTTTTAAACCACTTTCGTAGTATCTTAGAGACTGCTTACTGTTATAAACATAATACGTAAGTACTTCCCAAACGACGTCAAACCCTTCCTCAACCCGTCTTTCACTGGACAACCGTAGATAATTTACATTATTATGAGGTTCTTCTGAACATTTTGTATTTGGCACTTTATTAAAGTGGTTTCTCATTCTAAAATATTGCTGTTCTTAAAATTTACAAAGATGTTAGTTAAATATTTTACAAATTAATGTTCGAATTGAATGTAAACTTTTATAATGCACATGGCGTTTGTATTACGAATTTATAATAATAGATGTCCAATATAATATATAACTTTGATTTGAGAGTTGATTGTACTTTTTTAAGCTACGTAAAACGGTAAAAAAGTTTTAAAACGTTAAAGATAGTCTTATTGCCGAGTGCCATATGTGATTTCTTAAGTTTAAAAAGTTTGTACGTTTTTTCAGTATTTTTAAAGTTTATGTACCTGTTAAGAAATTGATTTACAGTTTATTTTTAAATGTATGTAAAAATATGTACAATGAATTCAGTTTCTTTTGTTGTAAGAATCCATTATTGATTATACCAAAAACCTACTTCTAAAGTCATAGAGTAAAATAAACGTTAAAAAAATATATTTAGTCTTTTATTGCTCAAATTATCGAAGGTATTGAAGATTATTGAAACACAAATCTGGACCCTATAGCCAAAGAGTATTAAGTCCATTCTACAAAATTTTACAGGAGTGCTTGTTGAAACTTGTGACTGCTTGTATGTTTATTTGGACTTAATATTGGTTTTAAAAATATATCTGGAAAACTAAAAAATAATAGGACTTAATACTTAGCACCAATGGCAGGAGGCAGGAAAAATTATGTAGGAGTAACCAAAAACTTGAAAATAAAAAAAGGTGAACTTAATACTGTTTGGTTATGAGGTCCAGAAATTCCTTCCATTTTGAGAAACGAACATTATTCTTTCCGAAAAAGAAGAAATTTTTGATAACCATTAATAACAAGAGTTATATTATTAAGATTATCATAAGAATATTTTCTTTAAGTATTGTAACGATAGTCTATTTATAGTTTATTTATTTAAAACACTATTTACAATTTATTTCAGACGTACTAATTAATTTATATAATACTTAGATACTAACTAACAATTCTAATTTGTTTATTACACTTTAAATTTTCATTACAATGCTCTATACTAAACTGTCTATAATCAACTGACTGCCGTCTTCAAACTCGCGATAAATATATCAAGCCAACTCTGTAACCAGAATACTCTAGACGGTCCCGAAAATTCCATCTCTGACTCAACGGCATTCTCCGCCCGTTCTATCCGTTTCTAGTGCGTCACCGGCATTCCTGAATGTTCCGTCGCCTCGGCTGACAGCTGAAGGTCGCGCTTGCTTTATACACAGGGCCGGCTTAGGAATTTCATGACAGTATTCACAACGGATTAATTTTACATTCTTGACTTTTTTAACTGTTTATATTTATCTACATACTTATTATTTTTTTTTTCAAATATATGTCAGAAATGGTTATTCTCACCACCTCATCTCACCGCAAGTTTCCAATTCGGCCAAAAAATATCGAGGAACATACATTTTTTAGGCGGCTGTTTCATTACTCGTCAAGCAGACCTAACATTTTTTTACATATTTTCTCGATCTCTACCAATAAATGGCAAAGAAATTTCGTTTATTTTATATTTCACAAATACTTTCAATGTATTTTTGTTAATAAATAAAAAAATTATTCACCCTCGTAGCATAAGTAAATAATTCTGAAAATTTGTGTGTTCTGTGGTATCTAGTACGTTTATATCCAGTGACTCCCTAGTAGAGCTGTAAAAGTAACGAGAAAATCAATACCCGTATGTATTCGTTACTTCGGATCTGACTACCCGTATAAAAATATTCGTTACTCGTTACTTTCGTTACTGTGATACGAATCTACAGAACGCGCATCGTGTGGGCCTCGCACACGTCTATGCAGATGCGGAATTGATGTCGGTAACTAATCGTACGTACGGATTGCTTCGGTTGTTAGGTTTTGGTACTGTCTAACAGATTAGCATCAAGGCCACACTCGCATTTCGCATCGCTCAACGGGCCATCTCGCATACCGAACCGGTGGTGGTATGTATTATCAAGTATTATTATTGTGCGTTATGCGACGATGCGGATGCGAGTAACGAAATTTAAAATGCAGTAACGAATTCGTATTTCGTATCTGACCGACTACCCGTTACTGAGTAACGAATACATACGGTTTGCCACAGCTCTACTCCCTAGTAACGGAACCATCTACGGGGGTAATTTTTGCTTCGGGCATTCGGGTTTTGTAGGAAATCATGGCATGGTTAAGAAAATATATATCACAAATTTAAATTTTAGTTAAAGTTGTGCAGTAAAATACTCTAAAAGGAAGATCAATTTCAAAATTATCAAAAAATTTATTGGTGATAGAACAGGAGCAGCATGAATAACTGCTTAACTTAGGACCGATTCCACCGTTGTGTTAAACGAAGTTTAAAGTGACATTTTTACATTAACAATGTCATTTTAATCTCCGTTTAACACAACGGTGGAATCGGCCCTTAAATACCTGTTATTTGTGTTGTGTGAATTGACAGATGTCATTTTTTATTGACAGCCACAATAGACTTGTCAATATTTTTGTTTATATACAATATAAACAAAAAAAGTTGTAAGGTCAGATTATCGATAAAGCGTATAGGTATTAAGATATAATTCGTGTTTTGTTTAAGTGTGAATCTACCTAAAAAATAATCGTTTAAATGAATATACCGGCATGGCCGATGCGGACTGTTTAAGTGAGTGTGCTAGTTCTGTTGGTGATGAAGAAAGAGTTAAAAGACTATTTCAAGCTTGCGATGCGAACGGTGATGGTTATATAGATAGGTAACATAAAATATGATCAAATTTAAATCGTATTTTTTAATTTTCATTATTTTTTAGTCAAGATTTATTGGCCATTTGCAGAGAGCTTAGTTTGGAAGATTCTCTAGATGAAATAATGTTACAGTTAGGTGCCGATTCTCAAGGTAGAATATCTTATGAACAGTTTTTGCAAAGAAAGCTTTCGTTGCGTTCTGAAATTGATGCCCTAAAGACTGGTCCTAAGGATACAACTGAACAAGGTACCTATTTGTTTTAGTAACACCAGGAGAATAGGTACCTTTAAGTTTATTTAGTATTTTTAAATGTAATTTTTGAGAAATAAACTTGTTCTAACTTTAAAAGACACCTAATCTTAAGATCATATAGATAGTAACAATGAATAAAAAAAATATGATTCAGAATCAAACTAGTTTATAATCTGAGGATTTTAAATATTAAAAATAAAAATTTATGTATACTTTTTTAGCTTATCTATTTATTAAAAAAAATATTGTGTGTTGACTTAGATTTAAACAGAAAAAATGCTTTCACTTGTTTCTTCAAATACATTAGATAGGTAGGAGGTACCTGCTATTTATAATTTGAGTTTTGGCTAAACATTTTTTGTTTTTTTCAGGAAAACTGGATAAATGGGAATGGGATTCAGGAGCTAGAGATATGAGTCCAGTGCCAAAAAATAAATTAAATAAGCATTTGGAGGATGAATTCAAGGTAAGTGATTATTTTTATAAAGTACCAAAATTGAATCTGTGAGGTCACGACCCTACACGTTAAGATATCCATTTTGTTTAAAACGTGTTTTGCATGAACCATAAGGTATGCTTAATGTTTATCTTTGTATAGCAAGATGTTATGGGGAAGAACTATACATGTCCCAGGCTTGTACGGCTTTTCATAGTTTATGCTCCCAAATTTATTTAACAAGTTTCATGCTCCAGTGGGGCTGGACAGTGTCTCATTTGCTATACTTATCACATTTAATCTGTTGGGAGTTTAGTTTTGACAACCATCCTTTGGCTAGGTATAAATGGTGAACAAAGACATTTTTTGGAAAATTTATTGCTGCAAATAAACTCCAAACTACTAGATCAACAACTTTTCTGTACATTCTAACATAACATCTACAAATAAGTAATTTAAACCTTAATAATAAGTTTTTAGATTTCTCAATATGTCTCACCTATTCAATTGAGTTTTATATTTGCTGTATGTAAATTAGGTATGAAACCAAAATATGCCATTTCTAAATTTAAGGAAACATTTTTTATCATAGAAGTTGATTGTTGAAAATTAATTTAAAAATATTTTCATTTTAATTTTATTATGTATATTTTTAATAATGTTGGCAAACTAAAATGACATTAAAGTGAATCTATCTGTGTGTCACAAAATTATATTTAAACGATCTACAGTGAGTTGCATCTTGTCCGGTTTTTCTAATCATTTAACATCATGTTTCATGTGGGATTTGTCAAATTAAATTTTAGTCATCAACATATTACAGATTTTTGTATTATTTCTTGTATTTTTTTTTTAATAACACAGTCTAAAAATAAATGACTATGGACCTTGTCCTATTCACTTTTAAATTTTACTTTATGAATTAAATATACCAAGTATATTACTACAAAAATACTATTTATTGATAAAATTAACATTTTAGTCTTTAATTGATTAATTAAATGCATTTTAAGTATGGCCTTTCCCTGATTTTGACAATAACAAAAATATAAAGAAATGTTATTTATACATATTTTATTCACCAAATCAACACTGAATTAAAAATTAATATCATAGTCCAGCATTCTTCTAGAAATAACCCACCAGGTGTTCAAAAATCCAACATCTAATATTCGTTCTCCAAAACGTCTATAAGGCACTTGCAAATATGAACATTTACATTCATAAGTATCACAGTCTTCACTAAATTCATCAACCCAAACAATTGACAGTATACCTAAATTAATGTATCTTATGCGATTGGAGTTGTAACAATTTTCAATGTATTTTAAATGATTAATAGCCATAGGGTTTGCCGCATTTGGATTAATTAGAGCTAACTCATTCGCACTTTCCACATATTTTGCTCTAAACGTTATTAAATCAGGGTTGTGAGTCGCACAGTAACTTAAAAGAGAAATTCCACTCAAATAAAGGGCTGACTTCAGTCGCTTTTGTTGCATTTCCGTTTTGAGATTGAGAGCAACGTCTTTGTAGTCTCCTGCAAGTTGTTTCCAATATTTCACCCATTTTTCAAAAAATGTACCTTTAATTTTATTATTCAGCCTTTGAGATACTTCTTTCCATTGATCAGTTGTGATGACGATTGCGTTGGAATAACTTTTTCGAGAAAATTTCCACATTTTTCAGCCTCAGTGAATTGAGGTTATGTTAACCTGAAATAGGTATTTAATTTCTTTGGATGGTTTTAAAACATTATCAGAATCCTCGATAAGAGAAAACGAATTTGAAGTAATGGTAAACTATTTAAATATGTCAAAATATTTACTATTATCATTAGAAACGAGAAGTTACACCATCTTGACACATGACCTAAAAAGTGACACTATCCAATGTCATTTAACATTTAAAAGACATGGAACCACAGAAGTGATGGAACCATGGAACATGTTTCAAAGTTAGGAAAAGGTGGGAGTGTTGTGTAATGCGGTGGAGATGCGGTGTAATACATTGTTATTTGGTAACAGTGTTTTCTAAAAACGTACTAGATAGAAGATACTTGTACGGGGGTGCATTTTAAGTATATTCTGATAATTACGCGTTGATTATATGTATTAGGTCTGTTCGGGTTCTTCAAAAATACATTGAGAACTATTATAGGACTAGTTGACAGTTTAATAGTTCTACGCGACGAATAATTTGGAATTCAACTGTTGTGCTGGTTCTCGGACGGTTTTTAAGTTTTAAAAAACCCGAACAAACCGCAATTCAAAGCTGAACAATCAACTCTCCGAAGATGGAGCTTAAAATAACAACTTGGATCATTAACCTAAATAAAGTCTAACAAACAATGAAAAAGAAATTATAGTCATCTATAATGTATGAAGGAATAGTATGAAAATCCTCAGCCTCAGTGATCACACATGCTCTCTAATTATTTTTACTTAGTTTGCGATGCTACGGTGACCGGAACACGCTCCTAAATTTTCCGTTTTTGCTCTTCAGTGAACCAAACCGTCATTGTCAAGAAAACTCCTCCATGCTTTCAATTTGTCCCACGTTCGACTACAAAATATGGTCTTTTTAATTATAATTCAAATAAAAAGAAAAATACACTTAATTGGTTTATAGGTAGGTTTTTGACATTAATAAAAACAAATCCAAATCACAAAACCTCGCATTTAAAAACAAGTCGGTTATTCTTATTATTTTAACTCCGAAATGTCAAAAATTTTAACCAATAGGAAGTCTTTATTTCGTATAAAGTGTCACTTTAAAATACCCACTATTATTCTAAGATTTCCCCCAATCCAACGTGGCCCGTTAGATTTGGGACCCGAAACTTTACACTTAGGCATGCGCAGATAACAGTTCGAAAGTGTTAGACTTTCGAACTGTTAACGGTTGCGTTAGCGGGAAAGTTCTAACACTCCCTATTATTATGGGTTAAAATCGTCAAAATTAATGCCGATGTCAGACTAATAGTATGCGCATCCTTCCTCCATGGTTCACAATTTTCATTGCCTACAAGTAAAATTGCGGACATTCATATTATACGGCTGCACACAAACGTTTTTTCCGATCAGATGTTGCGTGTTCCAAAGACATCTAACTTTTAACAAAAACAAACCGTTCTGTCTTTGAATTTGACATACGTTTTCAGTTTTTTTACTGTTTGTAGCAAAAAGTACATACCAAATTATTTTTAATGTTTAAAAAAATACAATTTTGAAAATAATAGAAATAAAATGATAATGAGTACCTATTCGCAATTCAAATTAATTTTCGCGCGCCTGTCATTTGTCAGATATCAGTAGGATACCTAATTGTTTATTTACATTTTTAGGATTGGGGCGGGCTTTTGTATTTTTGATTTTTAGATATTATCATTATAATAGTGTCGTTGGGTTTCATTTAGTGTTAATTTGAGTTTATTTTCAGTGCTTTCGTCATAAATATAATATTTATCATGTGTTTAAGACTAATTAGTTGGAAATCTTCACCTATCTATCTGGATGCTACACGGACATCTAGAGATATTTGTTAACTAAACGCAGGACATATTTTAGTATGTGGTTTAAAGGGAGTTTCATGTACCTAATGTTTATTATTGATAAACTTAATTAAATATCTAAGTATTCTTATTATATTCTGAAGTGAACATTGTGACACTTTGTAAACATGTAAATAAACTGAAATAAATCTGTCACAATGCAGAAATCAGTTTGAATCTAGACATAAAATGATGCAAAATCACAATAATGTGTTTTTGTAGATATTTGTTTATTGCAAGAGACAAAATTTTAGGACTTACGCTTGGAAAATAAATGAAACTTCCGTTTTGATTTTGATATGAAACCTTATTGATTGTAATTTGCTGTTTTTTTTTCGCAAATTTTATTTTTAATATAAACACTTATCTATCACCCACTACAAAAAATAAAGATATTTAATGCTTACAAATAAAAAATCGAATTGATACAAATTTATCTATAAACAGCGAACACCACGATAATGTTGCCAACTGATGAACTGATTAAAAAAAAATAGTGACAAGTGAACTGAAATTTAGAGAAAAAATCAAAGCAATTAAATATCGGTTTTATAAGAATCCTTAAACAAATTATAGTACGATTACATATTGGACGACACCAATAACGCTACTTAAAAAAAGGTCTTTCTACTGCAAGTGTAATAATTCAATTTGGCTACTGTTGGCATCATTGGAAAACGTTCTACTTCTAGACACCTTTTAGAAATATCCTCCAGATGTCGTATCGCTATCTTGAATCGTGGATATCCTCGATAAGCGCTGCCAACCAGTTTAAAGATAGTATACTTTTCTAACATTTAACGTGTTTTGTGATACAAACTCACTGGAATATATGGAAGAATTAAAGAATCATCAATGATGTATGTTTTTCTCAATTATTAAATGCCATGTTTTCCATAATTTGCTTGGTATATTGGCGAACCTTTTTCCATAATTAAGTTGGTGTACCTGTTTAGTGTAAGACTCACTTTACAGTTCGTAATTTTCTTTACAATTCGTATGCGCTAGTTCAGTGATGATGTAATTATGGTTCCACTGACAATTAAAGTGACAGTAGATTTTTTGAGTGCGTTTTGTTCGTTTTGTTTACCTAAATTATATAGTTTTTTCACTTTTATAGATATATTCCAAAAGTAAGTAGATAACATGCATCAAATATACAAACGTTTACCAATTACATACCTTCCAACTATTTTTTATGACCTGTAAACAATATTTAGAAATAAATTTAAAACAGTAAAAACGTATATGTCAAATTTATTGATGTTTTTGTTAAAAGTTTGGTTAGAATTAAATGTCAGTGGAACCAAAATGACATCACACTGAACTAGCGCATTGCACATTGCCCATTGCACGTCTGCCCACTAACGTCCTGTCGATCTTGCAATTATTTTTGGCTATTACTGAAAATAGCGACGGATTGAAAATAGTGATGGGAGTATTCGGATACAAAAATTGGAATCTTTCCGATTCTTAAAATAATCGGATGATTCCGATTATTTATAATTATTCCGATTATCTCTTGAGATCTCGAATTTCATAATAATGAAATTAGAAATTAGAAATTATTAATAAAATTATCGTTTTCTTTAATTGACTAACAATTGAAAGTTATTTGGACGGCGTGTATAAATTGCTTTCAAATTAAAGCCCGGTATTTACAGCATATAACTTACTAAAATTAAACGTCAAAACAAAAAGAATAATCTTTTCTCCTGCGCTCTATACATTTTCAATTTCCTTTTATCCAAGGTGACAGAGGCAGAGCCAAATCTAATTGTCGGGACGACAAAATGCCGGGGAAAAAACATGAACTCCTTGCGAACAATGAATATATTTGGAAAAACTTTTACAAAACCAATATAAAAATTCACGGTTGTTTTGTTTTTAAATTTATTATCGGATGAATATGCAGGCCCGTATCGACTATGTAGCGAATGTGTCCAAAATACGGGCGGTCAGAATCAATAAATTATTACGAATATTGGCATGTGTATTTTTTCTAAATACCAACTTCTTATATACACTCCCTGTCACTAGGGTTGACAACTATCCCGGAATTCCGGAATTCTCCCGGAAAATGACAATTCATATTCAAAATCTCCCGGCTCCAGGACCGTAGCTAAACCCTCTCGGGTCTTTTGTCTATGAATAAAGACGTTGACTGATCTGAGTTATTCTCTTAATATGCATATATAAATGAGAATACAGCGTATGATGATTTCTATTTACTGCGAGAAGTACGTAAAACTATTGTAAGAAAAACAAGATTAGACATGCGTTAGGTTAATTTCTTATAAAAAATGTGTGGCACATACATAAAAAAGTTTAATTCACTCTATCGATTCATATCTAAAACGATGCTGTCCAATATGTTTTCAGCGTAGTTAATGAACTTTGGTCAAAAACTCGCCTTAAGGCAACTACTCATGTCAAATCTGAAATATAAGTATACATATGTAAAACATATGTAAACAGTTCTATGATTTGATCATTTCTAATAGAAAGGTATTGCAAGCTGTCCGCGGTTTACAAAATACAAATACAATTAAAAAATCGGGTTAAAAATATTGTAAAACTTCATACATAAGAATGCAACAACTTTTATAATATTTAATTTTTTTTCTCCCGGATTTTGGCAACCCTACCTGCCACCCTATAATTTTGACGTTTTGATGTTTTATAAGTTTATTATGTGTTATCTTCTACTAGTTTGTAGATACATGTATTGTGATTTTTTTAAATTATTGTAATAAGTAACACTTTTCGTTTAGGCAATATTACACAGGGGTAAATCAAAATGTTGTTTTTAGTCGCAACTTCAAAACAACTTATAGCAAAATTGAGGCGGATAATTTTGAGGAGAAGCCGAGAAAAAACTCACTCAATTTCAACATTAGAGCCAATAAAAATTAACTCAGAAATTAAATGTCAAAATTTCTTTCCTTTCTTAAAAAACGATTTAACGTTAATGCGTTACAATAACCGGTTATATATTTAGGGCTTTGGTCACGTGATTTCATGGTTAACCAAGGGTATAACCGAAGTGTTCTCTGGTTCATCGCTTTAAAACGGTTATAGTGTTACTATATAGTGTTATCTATCATGTGCCTGTCAGTGGCCTGTCATTTGAAACGGGCAGCCATTTTGTTTGGATAGCCTAATACGCAACTGCCAATGTCAAACATTTTGTCACAATAATCGCGTACTTAGCCAACTTCGATAATTTTTAACCATAGCTTGACATCCATTTTTACTAGGCAGCAAAGCTCAACAGTTTTGTTTGTAGTATTAATAAAAAGTACGAGGTTATTTTAAATTTCTTCTTTCTAAAAGTTGTACTGTGTTTTTCTCTCAGTTCTGCCCTGTGCAAAA